AAATGTTCATCTTCATTTCCAAGCTCATTTACAGTGCCTCTGCTGATCAAATCTAATTTAAAGGATGAAGCTGAGGAAAGAGCATCCACTTGGAACAAACATTTGAGAAGACTAATAAAAAATCAGACATACAAGATTCTCAGTTAATGCAAGTTGTGGTGGTTAGGTGGATGTAAATGGAGCCATGCCAATTTTCACCTGCTGAAGATCAGACATGTTATTTTTACATCAGATTACATGCTGCTGAGAGCTATCAGAGTTAGGGCTACACTATTAGTATTGCATAGAGGTCTCTGCTATCTGTGTTTAGTTTCATTTACTGTTTTCTTTCTGCATGCATCAAGTTCACACTGGTTACTGTCAGCATCAATGATAAAAATTCTGTTAAGAAATGCTGGTGGACAACAAGTTAAGCATGAGCCAGCAGTGTGCCCTTGTGGCCAAGAAGGCCAATGGTCTCCTGGGGTGCATTAGGCAGAGTGTTGCCAGCAGGTGGAGGGAGGTGATGCTGCCCCTCTCCTCAGCCCTGGGGAGGCCTCACCTGGACTACTGTGTCCAGTTCTGCATTCTCCAGTACAAGAGAGACACGGCACTACTGGAGAGAGTCCAGCGGAGGGCTACAAAGATGATGAGGGGACTGGAGCACCTCTCCTATGAAGAAAGACTGCGAGAGCTGGGCCTGTTCAGCCTGGAGAAGAGAAGCTTGAGAGGCAATCTCATCAACGTGTACAAGTATTTGAAGGGGGAGTGTCAAGAGGATGAGGCCAATCTCTTCTCCGTGGTGCCCAGCAACAGGACAAGAGGCAACGGGCACAAACTGAAGCACAGGAAGGTCCATCTGAACCTGAGGAAAAACTTCTTTCCCATGAGGGTGACAGAGCATTGGAACAGGTTGCCCAGAGAGGTAGTGGAGTCTCCTTCCCTGGAGATATTCAAGACCCGTCTGGGTGTGATCCTGGGCAATGTGCTCTAGGTGACCCTGCTTGAGCAGGGAGGTTGGACTAGATGATCTCCAGAGGTCCCTTCCAACTTAAACGATTCTGTGATTCTGTGAAGCAGGTAATAATGGTTTCTGTGAACCATACTGCTCTGGAACTTAGTCCCATGTGGGTTAAACCATATCACTGCACACAATGTAGGACTGCACAAAATCACTTTCCCATGCTTTGGAGATGGTCTGATGGCGCACATAGTGCACAGTATATGTCTAGTGGTGAGAAATGCTGCTTATTGTTACACAGGCACTTCCAAGATTGCTTAGCGGTGATATCAGAGCACTGCCTTCCCTGGTCCTTATTTAAGGAATCATTCTGCCCTGGGTTGTATTTAATTCCTGTCCCTCTCAGAATTGAGATGGGTAAGATTTTTTCTTCCTAGGAGGTATTTTTTAACCAAGAACACAACAATTTGATTTTCATCCTGGCGCTACAGAGCTGCCATAACAGAAAGCTGAACTGCTAGAGCGGCGTGCAGGAACTGGAATGAGAGGTTGAGGGTGGGAATCTCTTACACCAGTTTTGTCATAGAAGAAAATGTCACATGCCAGGCGTATGCGGTACTAACAGGGAGGCAGTGCCCATGGTTGTCACCTGTTTCTACACCCTCCCTACTCCATGCCCTAGCAGCTCTCAAGGAAATCAATGGGTATTACTAAGCGCTAAGTACTCGGGACAACAGGCTTATTTATACTCAAATACCTAGGAAAGAATTATGCAGCCTAGTTTCTGGAATTCTGCCCAGAATGTTCTTCTTCCAGGTATCTTGTCAATAATTTTCAAGACTTTTAGAGATTCAGAGGAGAAAAACTGTGGTGTGTTGGAATATTTATTTTAGGTGGAAAACTGTCAAAGATTTCCAGTGTTCCTGACACTTCTAATACCTGTAGACTTTCAGTAGCAGTTAAGCATGTTTGTGCTTTTGGAAATCATTCAGTTGATAGCAGAAAGAGCTAAAGATTGATCACAAGTAATGCACTCTGCCAATTTTGTCCTATGGGCAAATTGTGAATAAAGATTTTGTTGGTTTCTTTGGATCGGCTGAACAAATATTAACAAATCAACATATATTTGGAGACATGAATTATTTATAGCAAGTGTTCAAAAGGTCTGGAAAGCAATTTTCCTTTGGGTACATGTGACTAGCCACATGAGTGACATGGTATTCTCTCACCCTTGATTAGACTTGTTAGCCTTTTAATTGCTTATTCCATCTGATGCTAATTCTGATTCTTGATGAGGTCTAGCGATAGTATCCAAGTCATTCTCACTGAGCATTCATCCCTACAAAGCTTTGCTTGTGTGAAAGTTTGTGAATAAAGACATATGAACCAGCTGAGTACCAGTCTGGTCTCCAGTTATTAGAGCAGTTAACTGATAAAACGCCTGTGTACTTTGATCAGCTTTAGTCATGGCTGGACTGGAGTCTTCAAGTCAGCTACCTCCCAGCAAACAAACTCATGTCTCTTCAGTACGAAGTTGCTAATTTTGTTTGCTGTGGTACTGCATTTATATCCATTTCCTCTGTTAGAGCTGGGTAGAAAAGTTACTGAAAAAATGTATGATGTGTTTTATTTTGAAAATCAAGCAAAGACTTATTCTCCAAACGCAAAGAATGCATGACCTGTTAAGAATGAGAAGAAAATGGCCATATATGCATTCATACACAGAATGGCCACATATGCATTCTTACACAGGGGCGTGGGTTTGCCGTGCTTCAGTATACTCAGAGCGATTATAGATATGGATGGGGTTAACTGAAAGCAGATGTACAGGGAAGGCTGATGCATGTTTGCCTAACACAGGTGTTAATTACATGCAAAATTACCTTGCATTGCTTGCCATGCTACTTTGTCTGTTGTGGTGGGTTTCCTGCAGTGCATAACTAGTATGCCTGGTATGTGTTGAATAAGGAACAGAGAATAAGCTGTTGTGGTGACACATGCCTGCAGCTATTGAGGTACTTCACAGGTAATCTTGAGAACGCTGTATCCCTGCTTCCCTTTGCAACATGTCTATCTGCAGTACCAAAATGCTAGGTTCTTAAAAGTAAAAGATGCCATTTTTGCATCTCTAAAGTAATAAATGAGCAGATTCTATTCAGAAAATGCTCTTCAATAAAAGTAATTTTCATTAAACCTACTGTGAGTGCTTACTTGAATGAAATCTTTTGTTGGCATAATAAAAAGTTTGTTGTTCTTAACCTAGCAGAGAATTTCTAAAATCACTATAAATTGACAATCCAGGAAAAGCAGCAAAAGCAAATAATTCTTGGAGAAACATTTCAAATTTCTTACCAAGCAATTCAGAATCTAAATGAAAAGCTGCACCTCCACTGATTTATAGTAAGGCTGGTATTGATTATGCACTTACATAAGGAACAGAATACACTTCATCACAGAGGGCAATTTTGAATGTGCCCATTTTAGTGCTTAAAATAAGGCATCAGAGTAAAAATTTCCTTCTTACTGGTGCCACCAATTAGATGTTATAAACAAGCATAAATATCGGGCTGAGAGTCCATCTTGCCTCATCTGCTATAGACCTACTGTGTGTTTTTTTTTTCTCTGCCTGACATAGAAAAACAACAGCCACCTCACAGATGCGTTGAGATGTATAACATTTACGAATACTACAAGTCATGAAAACCTCTGTAGTTTTATTTCAGAGGCTGCAAAATAAACTGAAATCTTTCATAGGAACATTTTCTAAGGCTCAAAGTGATTTTATCTTTCTTGGTTAAGACTTATTCATTTTATATTTGTTTTACTATACCATTAAAACATTTTCTACTTCTACTTTTCTACACTTTCTACAGTGATTTGACGCTATGACACTGTTTTTATTTGTCAAGCCTAAACAACTGAAGATTAATAGAGTTTTTTGTGAAATTCACCCTATGAGATTTGTTGGAATTTAACCTCTTTTCAATTCAGAGCCAAAACTACCATCATGAGTTTCTTCAGATAATGGGATGTGCTACAAATGATGAAAATATTGTTTTTATTGATGATATAGATAGTAGGAAATGTTCTGCATAGGTAAGGAAGAACCCTTAACTCCTGGATCAGGTTGCTTCCCTGATTACGTTGCACTATCCATCTAAACAGAGATGTGAACGCTAAACCTCTGTTCTTTCCCTTCAGCAAGCTAAACCAAAATAGCAGATTTTGGGGAAAACTGTTAATCTTTTCTAGAACCTGACACTTTAGAGAGAAGTATTATTATAATAAAATATCACTTTAACAGTGTTAGCCTGTAAGAGTTGCAATATGACAAATGGAAGTGCTTAGAAAACTGCTGCATTATTTTGCCCTGCTCTCTGCTTTATGTAGTCTTAACGAGTTTGTTTAGATAGACTGCTCTCTCTCTGTCAGTGTATTCCATTTTGATTTGACCAGCAACTGAATAAAAATTCTTTTCAAAAACCTCAAGATAGAGGCATTTCATTAGAGGTTATCATCGTAACAGTTCTAAAGACTATACTAATGATAAGAATTTTTAAATGGGAGCCTTGATGCGAGCTCATTGAAGACAATGGCAAGGCTCTTATTAACCTCTATGTTGAAAAATCAAGTTTTTCCTTTTATAACCTCCAGGTGCATAGGTAAATAATTGAACAATACTTCCAACACCTTTTTGGGTAGATGTTAATCTTGATGTTACAGATGAATGCACTGATGTGAAGTAATTTATCAGGGTTCTGTGACGAGTAGGCAATGGAGACGGCCAATGTTCTGTTGTTCTCTTATCTAATCATCAAGAAACTCTTCTGTACTTGACAGAAGACTTTGAAAAGACATCTTACAAGCTTGCATCAACCAAATATTGTGCATTAAGCATGTTTTGGCTTATGTGCTACAGAAATGTACTACATATTTTCAGTTTGCAAACTCACTGGAAGTGCAGGATTAGAACAAATGCCTACTGTCTCTCAAACCTGGGAACGCATTTCAACCCACTGTAACTTGTAACTTGGCCAACCCTCTCCCTCCAGTAACTTACAGCTTTCAATTTCTAGCGTGCAATTTTGTTCATCCAGAGGATATCTGCGTAGATCCATCATACAAGCAGCTGTTGTTGTGATCCTGTAAGAGGATGAGAGGGAAAAAAGCCATGAGATTTGAAACCACACTTTACTTGTTTGAGAGAGCAAGTTTTTCTACAGTGGCTTTTTTTGGTTTAAATACAGCCTGGTTGTGCACATAGACTCCTGGCATACAGAATAACTTGCAAAGGATGATTAAACTGTTTATATAAAACAATATACTGGTTACTGTATAAAGCTTAAGACCATATGCTAAAAATCAGAGAGCAGGATTTCGACTGAAATCTTTACGTGCAAAAGCATGTAATATTTTGAAGAAGATTTAATGATGAGACCTCTACTTGGACATCTCATTTTTTTAATTCTGTTAGTTAAGATGTCTTCAAATTGTGTTGCATATATTTTTATTTATAACTCATGTATGGATGATGGGGTTTTTTTTTCCATTTTTTTACATACCACTGTTCTATATCATTCATTCTGTAGAATACTAGTAATATCTAACCCATCATTTTTGTTTTCACAACCAATTTATCCATTACCTATGATAACAGAAAGTTGCCTCTTCGAAATTACATGATGTAATCAAAAACTCATGAACTGTAACATTCTCTGGCAAATACTGAATGAACATTGAGAGAACAGCTACAATATAGCCTAGATTTTCCAATTCCTTATTCATTCTAGAAGGCATTTTAGTTGACATTCAGTCACTGAAGGTATTCTTAACAGGCTAAGTCTGCGTGGAAGGCCAGTTTCTCTCCTTTTGTTAGGCTATAAATCTCTGAGCATCTAAACAAATGCTTGCTGCTAAGCATGTGAAATTTGAGAAGAAGGTTAAGTGGCTGCATGAGGACTGTGTACAGCGCTGAGTTATGGTTCATTTTATAGGTTCCACAGAAGTGCGTTAGCAGCTGCATTTGCCTTAGGGTGATAAAGGGGTTACTAAATGCTTATACAGCTTTTGAAGGTGTGAATGGGCAAAGTTGGCTCGAAAATGTGTTGGTCTCTCTCTCCAACAGTTCCTACCTGAGAAAGGAAGGTGCCTCTTTCTTGATCTGGTTTTGGTCCTGTTATCCCTATTTTGTGTTAATTATGGTGCCGGAACACAGCTGAAGATTTTACTTTTGATGTGCTGAAAATTAAGCAACACACGTGCTGTATTGGGATGATAATTCTTGCTGTCATAGAATTGACGGAATTAAAAAAAAAAAGCCACATGCTTCATTACTGTGGCATGCCTCAAGTTTCCTAAATCTACGAAATCCATCTATCTACCTGTATTCAAGGCTTGTCTAGCAAGCCCTGTTACAAGAACCAGTCCATGAAAATACTGTGGAACAACGCTTAAAGTGCCATGGAGATGTTATAATTATGCTGTTTCTCTAAGGCTGATTTTTGAGAGTCTCACATGTTGCACATTAAATTGAATTCCATGTCTCTTAATGGTGTCTTGCTTTTGTTATGGAAAAGGTCGAGGACTTCAACAGAGATACAACCTCATTTATTCATCCTTGTACCAAACATATCCTATTGAAAAGCAATGAAAAGGTGTTTGTCAGACTTTACGACCTAATAATCATACACAACAATATACTACCATCAGTCACAGTTAAATACTTTTTAATGAAGGTTTCATAGGGTAATGTTTTGATCTCAATTAATAAATCAGCCTTTATGGTAATTTAGTCCATTTGTATCAACTAGCAGGTTTATTTAAAAGTGTACAGAACTTAATACAGCGTTTCCTAGACCACAGAATTACAGTGGCCAGCTATTACTCAATGACTAGTGTATTTGTACTCTGAGTTATGCAGTTTTGAGTATCCTAAGCCACCTAAGCAGTAGCTTTTTCTTATTTCTAATAACATCAAGGATTTTCTGCTGGTACAAAGTATTTTTTCAACAGTAAACAATGCAATTATTGTATATCCGAGATTTGAAAGTTACACATAACTATTTCCTTTCCAAACATGGTAATTCTGATTAGTCCTTGCTCAAATGTATTCACCTTTTCACTCTTTGTCTACAGTTTTTGTCACAATGGGTCTTTAACTGTTGGCTTAGTATGCCTGACCACTACTATAACCCAAGAACAAAAATAAATGTCTGTGTTAACAGCACGCTGCACTGCTAACAGCAGGTCTGAAAGTGAATACCTGGATTATGCAGAAGATAGATAAACTATTAGTACTAGTGTCTTGCGATGGATGGTAAGTAAACCAAATACACCCAATTTGTCCCTTAGCAACTTGTTGTCCTCTGTGGAAGTTGGCAGCTGGAGAAGGGCTCCTGCTTCACTTGTAGCTTTGGAAGAGGCACTGGTGGGGGTGAACAGTATGTGGTAGGGGATTCATCAGAGCCACCTGAGCCCACCCAGTGCCTCTGTGAAGAGGAAGAAGCATGTGATAGCTATTGGAAGCTCCCTCCTGCAGGGAGCAGAGGCACCAGTCTGCCAGCCAAACATGAAAAAGCTGGAGGTGCTTAGACGTTACTGGGAATCTTGGGCTTCCTGGAAAATAACTACTTGTAATTGCTGTAGAAGGATTCAGCAACGTTCGTCACCTATGATTTGTTAATTTACTTTTCAGGTATTTCTTTCTCCATTGTGATAGAGCCCAGGTGTGTAAAGTTTTTAAATGATATTATGCTCTGGGTAACTATAAAACTTGTTTAAGGAGATAAATAAAATCTATATGCAGTCAGGGTAATTCCTGTCTTGATTAATAAAAGATCTTGATTTTTTTTTTTAAGCTAAGTAAAAGAAAAAACCTGTCTGTGCTCTCTCAATGGAGTTAGCACCTGATGGTTTGCATATCTCCCAGAGGTTTTAAAAAAAAAAAAAAATTTAAATGCAGAACACAAGAGTGGAATGGTGGGAAGGGGAATGCGATGGTCTGAACATAGGGCCAAAACTACAGTATACCTATGTCTAAAGAAATTAGTTCTGAAAATTGCTGGGCATAAGCATTTCATGGCAATGGTAGAATGTCATGAGCTGTTGGAGAAGTTTAAATGGAGAACTAATGCACCTCTGTTTCCAGTACAGGATGTATTTCAGAGTAAAATATGATTATTTTAGGCTGATTTTAAAACATGTTTTAAGATGAATGTGTTTTTTGGTGCTGGGGCTGCTTTATTTTGTTTGAACAGTGTTCTTTACCCTACTCTCCTGACATTCTTTTGACGTGTAACACAAATCATAAAATGTGGTTATACAAAAAGCTAAGTGGTTAACGCTGTAGTATTTCATTTCATTTATGTCAGTACTGAGACATCCTGTGATGGAGTAAAACGTGAATAGCTAACAGACATTTATTTACCAAAAGCAAACTTTTTTTTTTTTAATTTTAGCCTGGGTTTTAAATTATCTAGTCCACTGCTCAGCTTTTACTTGGGTGTCTGACTCTCTCAATGCTATATTCTTACTAAATACCAAAAGTGAAGTTATGTGAAAGAAAAGCATTACTGCTTTTTAGTATTTGCAAAACTGACTTCCTTATTTATTTTTGTCAGAAGTTTAAAAAAGGCAGTACATCTTGTATAACCAAAAATATTAAACTTTACCATTTGTTTAAGTCATCAGTGAGCAGTTAAAATAAGTTCTGAATTAGTGCAGGAAGTGGAGTTATGGTTCAGCGCTTAGAACACTTCATCAAAACGTGGCTAAAAAGCTTTTTTTCGCATCTTGAAAAAGAAACGAGCAAGATTTAAGACAGCAAGAACAATTAAACGTGGAGATAAACAGAGTTACACATTGCAAATTCTGTCATGAAGCCTTTCCTCCTATTTGGAGGAACGGTATCAAATTTTAATACGTTCTTTTTCTCACAGCCAACAGAGTATTAATTATAAATGTACATGTGGATATGAAGTGGGGTAGACCTATTTTTCCTTAAAAGCAAAATAAAACCTTCAAATCAAATAAAAAAATAACCCTGCTTCTCTTAGCCACTGCAGAGCTGGGGCTTGTAGTACACGCTGGAAGTAGAGTACTATCTCAGGTAAAAGGTTGCTCTTGTGTTAGTTTAACTTTGCTGATGTTGGGGAACTTACTCAGATGGCAGCTGGTTTGGCATCAGGGTCCAGCTCCATATACCTTGTGGAAATCATGGCCTTAATTTTTTTTTGAAATCAAGGAATCTCTCTGTAAGATTTAGTAGGATGTCTTGTAGGCAGAGTTATTGAAGGGGGAGGGAGGAAGGCAGAAAAATAAAACTATGTATTTAACTTGCAAAATTATTTTTCTCTCTACGTGCCACGCACAAAGTTTCTGGTACTTGTGCCTGCTGACACTGCAGAGTTCAAAGCAAAGTGTGAGTAATGAATGGTTAGGTGCCTGGGGCTGGGAGAAAATGTTAGCTCTAAACTTGCAAACATACCCAACCTTCAGTATTGGAAGGAGTCCGCTTACAAGAGTGTTTTATGAGCGTTAGCATTAGTTGGGTGGGTGTCATGTCTATGATGTAATGTGTACTTTGTAAATCTGTCAGTCTAGGTATTGCTTGTCTGGTCAAGTTGTATTTATTAAAAAATGTTTTATATTCATAAGTATGTTTAGGAAGGGTTAACAGGTGATGTGGTAATAGTATTTTCAAAGCATCTCGTTAAAAGCTGAGAGAAAATTGGAATATGGGTTCCTGAGCCAGATGCAGAAAGGACTTAGGTGCTTAGTTTTAGATACCTGACTCCATTAGCATGTGGAAACAAATTATTTTTAAATTGAGAAATGATCATAAATATGTGCCCCCAGCCCCAGATCAGTAGGAAATATATCTGTCTAGGGAGACAAGTTGTCAACTGCCGGCTCACTGCTGCAGACTATATAGTTTGAGATAACACTGAAGTATATAAGGAGAACACTTTTTATGGATTTAGGTTAGCAAGTGCAAAACACATTTCCCCTTTAATTTTACAGAAACAGGAGAGTTGTTTTAAAAATAAAAAGGCTCTCGATGAAGACATGCATCGGAGAAATGTGCAGCTCAAAAGAGTTAAAGCTATAAGCAGCTGAAAACAGAGCCTTGCATAAGAGGGGTC